CAGGAGCGCTGCACCGAGGCTCCGGCGGCTCTTTCCGAGGGTGGCTGTGCTGCCAGCGTGGCCCTGCGTGCTTACATAGCATCATCTGGGCGCACATTGATTGCTAATAACAGCTATTAAGGACAGAGGGGCTCGGTGTCCCGGTCCCAGCCCGGAGGGGTTTCCGGGCAGGGCGCGATGCCAGCTGAGGTCCCCATCTCCCTGGCCGTGCCCAGAGGACGGGCAGCACGGGGAGGTGGTTTTCCCAGACCTGGCTGTGGTCGGGCACGGGACAAGGCACTGGTTGCCCTGGTTTGGTCCGTCCTGCCCTGCCAGTCCCCTGGGGACATCCCCTCCTGTCCGAGCAACCCCTTGCTCATGTTGGCATCCGCTGCGCGAATGCGCCGTCCCCAGGGATGGCTCCTGGGTGGCTGCCTGCTCTGCCTGCTCCGTGCCCAACAGCAGGGCAGAAAATGGGCTGAAAACTGCCCTGACTTTTTCCCATTTTCAGGAAATATTTTCTTTTAGTGCCTTTGCTCTGCGTTCCCTGTCGCCTAGGATCTAATGCAGCTCGTGTTGGGGGGATTCCTGCTCCTTTTCTGAGTCTGCGTCAGTCCTGATCCAGCACTTGGTACCTATTAAGGACTTACAATTAAGTGCAAAAACATATTGTTAAAATAGATGACTTTTTTGGTGCTGCCTAAAAATAAGCAGGCTGTGAGAGTCGGAGCAGCAGGTGTCTGGGGTTAGGCTGCTTTATCACAGGGGAGCTTGGTCCTCCTTAATTAAGTTGTAAGCCCTTCTCTTGTGTTTTTACAAAAAATTACAGAGTTTTGGCTGGCACCATCCCTCCTGTGGGGAAGCCCAGCGTGGCGCGCGGTGGAAGACACCCGCTCAGCTGGGAGTTTTGTCCTCGTCTGAGGTTTTGCGAAGGACGCCTGGAAAAAGCGTGAATCAGCCGTTCTCCCAGCACAAAGCGGAGGGCGTCCGCCCCGTGGGTTGCTGGGGCTGGCTCCTGCCTGCTGCAGGCAGCTTTTCTGCAGGGGAGGGCTAATTTCTTCAGGGCCACCAGCCGGGAGTCTGCCAGTCCTCCGGCTCCGATGGCTGTGCGGGTGATTTGGGAGCAGCACCTCATGCCCCGTCTCGCAGCTCAGATGATGAAACACGGGTGGCACGAGTGGGCTTTTTGGGGGAGGAAAGGCGTGTAGGGCAGTGCCGCTGCAGAGAGGGGGCTGCTCTGCCATCCCTTGTTCCAAAGGATGCTCGGTTCTGGGCGAAGGGGGGTTCCCAGCTGACCAATAATATGGGGGTCTCTTCCCTGCAGTGGCTTGCTCTCCCGTGGGACTGGCCCCGGGGATCGGGAAGGTGCTGGTGGGTCCCCAGGGGTGTTTTCCTGCAGCCCAGCCTGCCTTGGCTTTAGGTTGCAGGGCTGCTCCGGCCATGTCTGGTGCCCCAGTCCACCTCTGGCTTTGCAGCACCGGCATGGAGGCATTTGTATATTCAAATCCCCTTGCATCCCTGCGAGGGTTCAAGCAGCTGGACTGTACATATGTTTCCATTAAGAAGAAAAAAGCATCTGCTGTGATTCTTTCCTCGCTTTCTGCTGACCAGGAGTCAGGTCCAGGCAGTGAGAGGAAGATGCAGATGCTGGTGGAGCAATGAGCACGTGGGGATGGGGAGCTCAGCCGAGGGTCTGTGCCCTCCGAGCTGCGGCACGGGCAGCACCCGTGCCTGGCGAGGCCACGGCACGCTGGGCTCGGTGCTGTCGGCAGAGGCAGAGGCGGCAAAGCTCCCGAGCGGTGCTGGGAGCCGCGGTCGCGGTGCGGTGGCCGGAGCGCCGGCGGAGACGCAGCGCAGCAGGGAAGCGGCGTTTATTTGCTGCGACAGCTTTGCAACAGATTCTTTGGCGGAGCTGACTGCAAACTGCAATCCTAAACTGTCGGACGGCTCCTTTTTCCAGCCTGGGAGTGTGAGAAACAAATTTGTTTGGGTTATAAAAACGTATTAAAAAGCAACACATTTTGTTTTGCAATATACATAGTTCTGCATGCCAGTTTTTTTTAATGAGTGCCATTCTAATCCCTTCCAGACAAAGACATTTCTTAATAACTTTTTGTGGAGGTAATTGCTGGGGAGATGTTTTGAAGTGCTAGGCAGGGAGCTGTCAGTCACACAGCTGCCGGTGACGGCTTGGCATCGCTCAGCTATAGGGGGAGGAAGGACGAAAAGCTCTGGGATGTCTCTAGCCCCGGGCACCCGGTGCCCGGAGAGCTGATGCCCGACAGCAGCAGTGCGGGAACCGGGATGTCTGGAGCAGCGCAGGAAAGGGGCTTTTTGCTCACCGTGTGCACCAGGAGGTTGACGTCTTGATGCATGTGGCTTGATGTCTGTAGTTCTTCAGTGTTTTGCTGACTGCTCTTAACTCTTCCCCAGATCCTGGGCTATGAGTGTCTGGCTTTGAGGAGCGTCTTCTGGGTACCACCAGAGGGCGTCTCCCTGGGCTCAGCGGCAGGCGGCTGTGGCAAAGGCGGTGGAAGAGACACTGGATCCCTGCAGCAGCAGCCCAGGGCCTCGTCACCGCGCTCTTCGTTAGCGCTGATCACCTCCCGCGGGCAGCCGGGGTGGGGTTCGCATCAGGTCGCTGCTCGTGGCCGTGACCCACACGCCGGACCTCGTCGGGTGCTGTCGGCATGAGGGGCATCGGACCCTTGGGGACCCTGCAAAGGATGGCCCAGGCCATCAGGAGGGACGTCCCTCCGGCTGTCACATCGGCTTGGTGGCACTGGTCACTCGGCTGCTGGGGACCCAACTGAGACCCGACACGCTCGTGCCACCGACGTCCCTTCAGCGAGGTGCCGGGCAGCGATGGGGCAGGCGTTCGTCTCTTTGGCAGCGCTCCCAAGACCTGTCCCCTCCCTGGGGCACTGCAGGATGTCCCCACACCCAGGGCCACCGTCTGATGTCCAGAGGAGCGTGTAGACCTCAGCCAGGGGACACGGGTTCCATGGGAAGCTCCGGGGCTGGCCGGACTGCAGTGCACCAGCCAGTGCTGTCCCGCGTGGGCGACTGC